GCCGCCATCGCTTGCCGCGGCGGGGGTCGTTCGCACTGGGCCAAAAGGAGCTCGAAAACAACTCCAGGAACCCCGTGTCGCCAATCTTGTCCGTGCTGAAGAGTTTAATTCTGGCGCGCACGAGCCACCGAGTATATGGGGCTGGAGCCCGGCCGCGATAAGGAAACGCATTGGCCACCGGCTGCAGCGACACTACCAGGCACTTGGGCGCCTCGTGGTGCGTGGTGTGGTGTTGGGTGTGGGTGCGTACGTGGCATGGTCGTACATCAGGCGCGCTCTTCCAAGCGACGACGACGGCGCCAACCGCCGGGGGCAAAGAAGAAACCGCTGGAGCGGCCGGGGTGGCAGCTACGCGGGCGACGACGCGAAGTTTGCCCCCAAGGGCTTCCTGCGTAGCGTCGTGCTGGGCCCGAAGGAGGTCTTTGACTACCTGCTTGCACCCACTGGCTGCAATTGAGCCTGAAGGCGGATGCCCCCGCATCTCATTGCGGTGAAAGGTCGTTTGCGACGCGTCTTTTTTTTTTTTTTGTACGCGGCGTGGTTGCATCGAACTCGCCATCTCGCTCTCCCTCTGCGCGTCGTTTGGTTCTTCGCGTTCCCCTTTCCTACTAGCAAGACCTCCCCCATGCGGAGACGAGACGGGCCGTGCTGCACACACCCCGCGTTTCCTACAGGCGGGAGCCTCCATGTTTTTTTGTTTTGTTATGGTGGCGTGCGCGGAGGCAGGCCGGAAGGGAACATGTAAGCTTTTTTCTCTTTTTTCCGCCACCGAAGGCGCGTGCCGTGGTGATGGCCCCCCGCGCCGTGCCGCACATGTGTTTCTTTCTTGCCTTCCTTTTTGCTTTCCCGCTCTGCCTGTCTTCTTTCACGCGCCCTCGCGGGTCTCGCCGCCGAAGCAGGCAATTGCTACAAGGAGGCAATGCGCGCAAACACTGCAGCGCCGACGCCGCACGCGGCGCGTCCCGGGGGCCGCGGCAACTCCAACGCCGGTTCCCTTCGGCGCCAGCCGTGCGTTGGCGTTGTGGATTTGGACGAGCCCTCCGTCTACCGCCCGCTCGGCGCCAGGGGAATGTCGGCCCCACCCGCACCGCGGCGGCCTGCCACACCCCCAGAGGAGCCAACAAATGAGCAGCGACGCCCAAAAAGCAGCAGCGACGCCCTAAAAGCAGCAGGGGCCGCGGTGCGTATTGGCCCAGGGTGGTAGCAGGGCCATTGGTGGCCCACAAATGGGGCGTGCCCCCCCCCCCCCCCTCCCCTCCCAAACCGCCGCGCGACCGACAGAGCGCCCTATCACGGCCGCTCTTGTTGCGCAGGCCGCCCCCGGGGCGTGGCTGAAAAAAAAAAAAAAGCGGAGCGAGGAGGTGGGGGGCGGGGCGCAGCGCGCGCTGTCTGGTTTTGTTGCTTCCCCCATCTTCGTCGCCACGGAAAGAGGCCAGCACCAGCTACGAAAGCACACACCCGCCGCAATGTGCAGACGCACCGGGTTCGCGCAGTTGCGCCTGCCTGCAGCTGCGCAACGGAAAGAAACGAGCGAGGGAAAGAACGGCGGAGCTCAGTGTGGCACTGCCGTTCCCCAAAACATCTAAGATGCCAAAAGGAGAAGAATAAAAACGCAGCCCAATGGGAAGCTTCGCGCCGGCCAACGCCGTGCACAGCTTAAAAGCTGCGGGGTCCTCCCTCGCCCGCCTCTGCTGCGCGCCGCGGCGTGTCCCCCATCGCCCTCCCACACGCTGCGCCTCCCCCAGCGCCGCCCGCCCCTGCACCTCACGACGGCAAATAAAAGAACACACGGCAGCTAAGCCCACAGCAGCAACGCCGCCATGGCTGCTTGAATGCGCCCTCCTCCTCGCCGCCATCGCTTGCCGCGGCGGGGGTCGTTCGCACTGGGCCAAAAGGAGCTCGAAAACAACTCCAGGAACCCCGTGTCGCCAATCTTGTCCGTGCTGAAGAGTTTAATTCTGGCGCGCACGAGCCACCGAGTATATGGGGCTGGAGCCCGGCCGCGATAAGGAAACGCATTGGCCACCGGCTGCAGCGACACTACCAGGCACTTGGGCGCCTCGTGGTGCGTGGTGTGGTGTTGGGTGTGGGTGCGTACGTGGCATGGTCGTACATCAG